ACAGAGGTTAATGACACTGAACGCACCACGGCAGAGGGTTAATGACACTGAACGCACCATGACACTGAACGCACCATCAGAAAGGGTTAATGACACTGAACGCACCATGACAGAGGGTTAATGACACTGAACGCACCAACGCAGAGAGTCAATGACACTGAACGCACCATGACAGAAGGTTAACGACACTGAACGCACCACGACAGAGAGTCAATGACACTGAACGCACCATGACACTGAACGCACCATCAGAAAGGGTTAATGACACTGAACGCACCACAACAGAGGGTTAATGACACTGAACGCACCATGACACTGAACGCACCACAACAGAGGTTAATGACACTGAACGCACCACGACAGAGGGTTAATGACACTGAACGCACCATGACAGAAGTTAATGACACTGAACGCACCACGACAGAGAGTCAATGACACTGAACGCACCATGACAGAAGGTTAATGACACTGAACGCACCACGGCAGAGAGTCAATGACACTGAACGCACCATGACAGAAGGTTAATGACACTGAACGCACCACGACAGAGGTTAACGACACTGAACGCACCATGACACTGAACACACCATGACAGAGGTTAATGACACTGAACGCACCACGACACTGAACGCACCATCAGAAAGGGTTAATGACACTGAACGCACCACGACAGAGGGTTAACGACACTGAACGCACCACGACAGAAGGCTAACGACACTGAACGCACCACGGCAGAGAGTCAATGACACTGAACGCACCATGACAGAAGGTTAATGACACTGAACGCACCACGGCAGAGGGTTAACGGCACTGAACGCACCATGACACTGAACACACCATGACAGAGGTTAATGACACTGAACGCACCACGACAGAGGGTTAACGACACTGAACGCACCATGACACTGAACACACCATGACAGAGGGTTAATGACACTGAACGCACCATGACACTGAACACACCACGACAGAGGTTAATGACACTGAACGCACCACGACAGAGGGTTAACGACACTGAACGCACCACGACAGAGGGTTAACGACACTGAACGCACCACGACAGAGGTTAATGACACTGAACGCACCATCAGAGAGGGTTAATGACACTGAACGCACCACGGCAGAGGGTCAATGACACTGAACGCACCATCAGAAAGGGTTAATGACACTGAACGCACCACGACAGAGGGTTAACGACACTGAACGCACCACGACAGAAGGTTAATGACAATGAACGCACCATGACAGAGGGTTAACGACACTGAACGCACCATGACAGAGGGTTAATGACAATGAACGCACCATGACAGAGGTTAACGACACTGAACGCACCACGACAGAGGGTTAACGACACTGAACGCACCATGACACTGAACACACCACGACAGAGGGTTAATGACACTGAACGCACCATGACACTGAACACACCATGACAGAGGGTTAATGACACTGAACGCACCACGACAGAGGTTAACGACACTGAACGCACCATGACACTGAACACACCATGACAGAGGGTTAATGACACTGAACGCACCACGACAGAGGGTTAACGACACTGAACGCACCACGACAGAGGGTTAACGACACTGAACGCACCATGACACTGAACACACCACGACAGAGGTTAATGACACTGAACGCACCACGACAGAGGGTTAATGACACTGAACGCACCACGACAGAGGGTTAATGACACTGAACACACCATGACAGAGGGTTAATGACACTGAACGCACCACGACAGAGGGTTAACGACACTGAACGCACCATGACACTGAACACACCATGACAGAGGGTTAATGACACTGAACGCACCACGACAGAGGGTTAACGACACTGAACGCACCATGACACTGAACACACCATGACAGAGGTTAATGACACTGAACGCACCACGACAGAGGGTTAACGACACTGAACGCACCATGACACTGAACACACCATGACAGAGGGTTAATGACACTGAACGCACCACGACAGAGGGTTAACGACACTGAACGCACCATGACACTGAACACACCATGACAGAGGGTTAATGACAATGAACGCACCATGACACTGAACACACCACGACAGAGGGTTAACGACACTGAACGCACCACGACAGATTGTTAACGACACTGAACGCACCATGACACTGAACACACCACGACAGAGGGTTAATGACACTGAACGCACCATGACAGAGGGTTAATGACACTGAACGCACCACGACAGAGGGTTAATGACACTGAACGCACCACGACAGAGGGTTAATGACACTGAACGCACCACCACGACAGAGGGTTAATGACACTGAACGCACCACGACAGAGGGTTAATGACACTGAACGCACCACGACAGAGGGTCAATGACACTGAACGCACCACGACAGAGGGTTAATGACACTGAACGCACCACCACGACAGAGGGTTAACGACACTGAACGCACCACGACAGAGGGTTAATGACACTGAACGCACCACGACAGAGGGTTAACGACACTGAACGCACCACGACAGAGGGTTAACGACACTGAACGCACCACGACAGAGGGTCAATGACACTGAACGCACCACGACAGAGGGTTAACGACACTGAACGCACCACGACAGAGGGTCAATGACACTGAACGCACCACGACAGAGGGTTAATGACACTGAACGCACCACGACAGAGGTCAATGACACTGAACGCACCACGACAGAGGGTTAATGACACTGAACGCACCACGGCAGAGGGTTAACGACACTGAACGCACCACGACAGAGGGTTAACGACACTGAACGCACCACGACAGAGGGTTAATGACACTGAACGCACCACCACGACAGAGGGTTAACGACACTGAACGCACCACGACAGAGGGTTAACGACACTGAACGCACCACGACAGAGGGTTAACGACACTGAACGCACCACGACAGAGGGTTAATGACACTGAACGCACCACGACAGAGGGTTAATGACACTGAACGCACCACGACAGAGGGTTAACGACACTGAACGCACCATGACAGAGGGTTAATGACACTGAACGCACCACGACAGAGGGTTAATGACACTGAACGCACCATGACAGAGGGTTAACGACACTGAACGCACCATGACAGAGGGTTAATGACACTGAACGCACCATGACAGAGGGTTAATGACACTGAACGCACCACCACGACAGAGGGTTAACGACACTGAACGCACCACGACAGAGGGTTAATGACACTGAACGCACCACGACAGAGGGTTAACGACACTGAACGCACCACGACAGAGGGTTAACGACACTGAACGCACCACGACAGAGGGTCAATGACACTGAACGCACCACGACAGAGGGTTAACGACACTGAACGCACCACGACAGAGGGTCAATGACACTGAACGCACCACGACAGAGGGTTAATGACACTGAACGCACCACGACAGAGGGTCAATGACACTGAACGCACCACGACAGAGGGTTAATGACACTGAACGCACCACGGCAGAGGGTTAACGACACTGAACGCACCACGACAGAGGGTTAACGACACTGAACGCACCACGACAGAGGGTTAATGACACTGAACGCACCACCACGACAGAGGGTTAACGACACTGAACGCACCACGACAGAGGGTTAATGACACTGAACGCACCACGACAGAGGGTTAACGACACTGAACGCACCACGACAGAGGTTAACGACACTGAACGCACCACGACAGAGGGTTAATGACACTGAACGCACCACGACAGAGGGTTAATGACACTGAACGCACCACGACAGAGGGTTAACGACACTGAACGCACCATGACAGGGTTAATGACACTGAACGCACCACGACAGAGGGTTAATGACACTGAACGCACCATGACAGAGGGTTAACGACACTGAACGCACCATGACAGAGGGTTAATGACACTGAACGCACCATGACAGAGGGTTAATGACACTGAACGCACCACGACAGAGGGTTAATGACACTGAACGCACCACGACAGAGGGTTAACGACACTGAACGCACCACGACAGAGGGTTAATGACCCTGAACGCACCACGACAGAGGGTTAATGACCCTGAATGGATCGGAGGTTTAATGAACAAGTTCAAAGTGTCGTGCTTTCATAATGAACTTGTTGTGTCATCCATGTGATGACGACAGACTCGCTGTTGTGAGAAAATATTACAAAATCTCACCTTCCCCTCCATCCTCCGAGCAGGCTCCGCCTCCTTCAACAGACTCATCTTTTTATCTTCACTTAAACCAGGGGGAGGGGCTATGGTGGGCGGGGCTTAACTAGACCAGAGGCCGTCACCTGACTGGAGGACAAAAAGGTAAAGCAGTAAAAATTATTATTATTAAAAATAATAATATTGAAACTTTAAAACAATGAATGTTGCTGCAGCAGAAATCAAACGTCCTGCAGTAACAATCAAATAAACAGAAATACACTCAAACTTCTGATTTCACAGACGAAGCGCCGGGTACCTGATTCCAGTTCAGCTGATCAGTCTGACGCTCTGAGAGGACGTCCATCTGTCCAGTCTGAAGACCTACAGACAGACAGGGAGGGGTGAGACAGGTTACAGGTGAGAGAGCTTTAACCCCTCGTCACACTGCCAGTCACCCACCAGAGGGGGCTGTAGCTGTGGGTCCTGCTCTCCTCACTGTGAGGCCCCCTACAGGACAAGCAGGTGAACTGCAGGATGTGAGGGAGGATTTATAAAAAGTCCTGAGTCTAAAAAAGTGCTGATTCTGAAATAACGTCCAGTGTCTAAAAATAAAGTCCAGTATCCATCACACACACACACACACACACACACACAGACACACACACACACACACACACACACAGACACACACACACACACACACACACACACACACACACAGACACACACACACACACACACACACACACACACACACACACACACACACACACACACACACACACACACACACACACACACACACACACACACACACAGACACAGACACAGACACACACACACACACACACACACACACACACACACACACACACAGACACAGACACACACACACACACACACACACACACACACACACACACAACTGCAGTTGTTATGTAACACAGCGGGAGGGGACTCTGGGGATGCTGATGTTTGTTGCTATGGTAACTTATTTCCCTGTGCAAAGACCTGAAGCCGGCCAATCAGCAGAGCCCGGTGCGGTCACATGACCGTAAGCAGACACAGAGTGATCAGCTGGTAACCACCGCTCCAACGTCTCAGCTGAGGTGTAAAACTTTTCTCAGAGTCACGACGGACTCGGGTGGGCACACGATGGGATGAGAGAGCGTTGGCGATGTTTCACAGGAAGTTACTTACAAAGATGGATGATTAAAAACAAGAATTTACTGATATTTTGTGTCTTCTCCTTTCGTTACCGTGGTACCAAAACACGTTTGATTCTTACTCTGTTTCAAACTACAAGCTTAAAATTCCTGTAACTGACCGATTTAAAAAACTAAAACTTTGAGTTTCAACATTAAAAACTAAAATAAACTTTATTTTTGTACTCTTCTTTTTGGCATTTGAATCGTTTTTAGCATCGCAGCTCTAGATCGTTTGCTTTGGTCTGAATCATCGACTAGTTTGTTCCATTGTTGCTTAATTACCTCGAGTTTTGTCAGAGTTCACACGGGGATGTTTACAAGACCTGTGTGGTACGAGGACAATGCTCTCTGATTGGTCAGAAGTAAACAAAGACTAGCTGACTCCTGATTGGCTGTGGCTTCTCCAAAGACTCTTTACAGTTTCTAAATGGACAGACGACGACACAGAGTGATGTCGGCTCTGCTCATCAGTGTTTATATTGTTTGTGTTTATCACTGAGGATACAGTTTGAAATAATGTGTTGATGTTGTGGAGTCTCTGAAGATACTTTTAAAGACAGTTCAGGAGACGGACCACGTTAGTCCTCCTGATCCAGGACCTGCTTATCGACCCAAAACTGTTTCTGAAGATCCATCATAAAAGATGATGAACAGAGATGGACCACCATTGTTCATGTTCTGACTACAGATGAACCACACCAGACCTTCCTTTACAAGCGGTCTCTGTTCAGCTGTTTGGTTTGATTGACAGTTTCACACCAGAACAAATGAACTCCAATGACCTGAGTTTGGTTTCACTGAACCGACCAGGTGAGGTGTGAAAACGCCCTGAAAAGTTCTTACATCTGTTTCTTTTTTTACTTTAAGAGTTTAGAAACCTCAGAATCATGCTCAGTTACTTCTACCATCAATCAGTGAGCTGTGTAGAGAGTGAGATGATAAAGGTATCTTACTCTCTGATCATTAAGGAAACATCTTCTCTGACAACAATGCAGCAGCCAGTATGTCCTCCTTCTAACTTCATTCAGGATTCTGATCCTGAATGCTCTGGATTTGTTTGGACCACAGAAGGTAGGTGCTTTACAGCTCTCTACAATGTTTTAAATTTAGACTGCAGTACCAATTTTAACCACTAGGTGTCAGAGTTACATACTGCTCCTTTAACTTTGATTATTTAACCATCTGACTTCACTATGACAGTTTTGACTTTGAGAGAAACCACTACAAACATGAAGAATGATTTCAGGCCTGATTCTGGTTCTGTCCTCCAGCAGGGCCCGGGGAGGACAGAGACATCAGAGACATAAAACTGTAAACATTAAGGTCAGGTTGCTGCTCACCTGCTGGAAGAGTCGGGCAGAGTCGGTTGAGTTGCAGTTGCAGATTCAATCCTCTCACACTGAAGCAACACAGTGACGCTGGCTGCTGGTTGCTGTTTATATAATTGCTCGGGTTGCTCTTTTGTCTCTCGGAGGAAGCAACATGGTGGTCAATAAAATCAACAGTTGTAGGAGGATACAAGTTGCTGCAGGTGTAGTTGCTGGATGTCTGTTGAAGCAACACTGCAGCAGCAACAGTCTGGTTGCTGCACCTTGATGAGGTTGCTGCACCTTGATGAGGTTGCTGTTGTCTCTCAGGTTGAAGCAACAATGCGGACCTTGAACACTGATGCTCTGATTGCTGTTTCCGTCGTCTCAGGTCGAAGCGACACTGCGGCTGTTGCCGTCATCGGTCCCTCATCCGCGGTCCCCCCCTCTGTAGCATCGGGGATGCTAACAGGCTAACGGGGCTAACCGGGTGTCTGTCTCCGGTCCGTCGGTCGCCACTCTCGGTGTCGGTGACTCACCGTCTCCCTCCGCTCTCCTCACTGCGGCGCGCGCGGCCAGCGGCGGGATACAGGGTTACCATGGCAACCGGCCCGCAGCGGGATGACGGGAAGTCTCCTCCTGAAGATGAAGATCAAAGAAGATCGATGACAAATCAACATGAAATATACAATTAATGAATAACACGATCTATAACCATGACGCGTTCACGGACATTCACACAAAGACACGTCATCACACAGGAAGTCCACCTTTTTGTTTGTTTGTTGTTACATAACGTCACAATGTCACGAACACACAACAGAAACACGCACGTGCTCAGGTAACACGCTGACCTCCTGCAGGATGCTGAATGTTTATTTCACACAGAAGAGTAAACATGTCAACATCACAACATGTCAACATCACAACATGTCAACATGTCAACATCACAACATGTCAACATCACAACATGTCAACATGTCAACATCACAACATGTCAACATCACAACATGTCAACATGTCAACATCACAACATGTCAACATGTCAACATCACAACATCACAACATGTCAACATCACAACATGTCAACATCACAACATCACAACATGTCAACATCACAACATGTCAACATCACAACATGTCAACATGTCAACATCACAACATGTCAACATCACAACATGTCAACATGTCAACATCACAACATCACAACATGTCAACATGTCAACATCACAACATGTCAACATCACAACATCACAACATCACAACATGTCAACATCACAACATGTCAACATCACAACATCACAACATAACAACATCACAACATCACAACATGTCAACATCACAACATGTCAACATCACAACATAACAACATCACAACATCACAACATCTCAACATCTCAACATCACAACATGTCAACATGTCAACATCACAACATGTCAACATCACAACATGTCAACATCACAACATAACAACATGTCAACATCACAACATCACAACATGTCAACATCACAACATGTCAACATCACAACATCACAACATGTCAACATCATAACATCACAACATGTCAACATCACAACATGTCAACATCACAACATCACAACATGTCAACATCACAACATGTCAACATCACAACATCACAACATGTCAACATCACAACATGTCAACATAACAACATAACAACATAACAACATCACAACATCACAACATCACAACATGTCAACATCACAACATCACAACATGTCAACATCACAACATGTCAACATCACAACATGTCAACATCACAACATCACAACATGTCAACATCACAACATGTCAACATCAAAACATGTCAACATCACAACATGTCAACATCACAACATGGCAACATCACAACATCACAACATAACAACATCACAACATGTCAACATCACAACATGTCAACATCACAACATCACAACATCACAACATGTCAACATGTCAACATCACAACATGTCAACATCACAACATCACAACATGTCAACATAACAACATCACAACATGTCAACATGTCAACATCACAACATCACAACATGTCAACATGTCAACATCACAACATGTCAACATCACAACATCACAACATGTCAACATCACAACATCACAACATGTCAACATCACAACATGTCAACATCACAACATAACAACATCACAACATCACAACATCTCAACATCTCAACATCACAACATGTCAACATGTCAACATCACAACATGTCAACATCACAACATGTCAACATCACAACATGTCAACATCACAACATAACAACATGTCAACATCACAACATCACAACATGTCAACATCACAACATGTCAACATCACAACATCACAACATGTCAACATCACAACATCACAACATGTCAACATCACAACATGTCAACATCACAACATGTCAACATCACAACATCACAACATGTCAACATCACAACATGTCAACATCACAACATCACAACATGTCAACATCACAACATGTCAACATAACAACATAACAACATAACAACATCACAACATCACAACATGTCAACATCACAACATCACAACATGTCAACATCACAACATGTCAACATCACAACATGTCAACATCACAACATCACAACATGTCAACATCACAACATGTCAACATCAAAACATGTCAACATCACAACATGTCAACATCACAACATCACAACATGGCAACATCACAACATCACAACATAACAACATCACAACATGTCAACATCACAACATGTCAACATCACAACATCACAACATCACAACATGTCAACATGTCAACATCACAACATGTCAACATCACAACATCACAACATGTCAACATAACAACATCACAACATGTCAACATGTCAACATCACAACATCACAACATATCAACATCACAACATCACAACATATCAACATCACAACATCACAACATCACAACATGTCAACATAACAACATAACAACATAACAACATCACAACATATCAACATCACAACATGTCAACATCACAACATGTCAACATGTCAACATCACAACATCACAACATATCAACATCACAACATCACAACATATCAACATCACAACATGTCAACATCACAACATGTCAACATGTCAACATCACAACATCACAACATATCAACATCACAACATGTCAACATCACAACATGTCAACATGTCAACATCACAACATCACAACATATCAACATCACAACATGTCAACATCACAACATGTCAACATCACAACATCACAACATGTCAACATCACAACATCACAACATCACAACATAACAACATCACAACATCACAACATGTCAACATCACAACATCACAACATGTCAACATCACAACATGTCAACATCACAACATCACAACATGTCAACATCACAACATCAAAACATGTCAACATCACAACATGTCAACATCACAACATCACAACATGGCAACATCACAACATAACAACATCACAACATGTCAACATCACAACATGTCAACATCACAACATCACAACATCACAACATGTCAACATGTCAACATCACAACATGTCAACATCACAACATCACAACATGTCAACATATCAACATCACAACATGTCAACATGTCAACATCACAACATCACAACATATCAACATCACAACATATCAACATCACAACATCACAACATCACAACATCACAACATGTCAACATAACAACATAACAACATCACAACATATCAACATCACAACATGTCAACATGTCAACATCACAACATCACAACATATCAACATCACAACATCACAACATATCAACATCACAACATGTCAACATCACAACATGTCAACATAACAACATCACAACATGTCAACATGTCAACATCACAAGATCACAACATATCAACATCACAACATCACAACATATCAACATCACAACATGTCAACATCACAACATGTCAACATAACAACATCACAACATGTCAACATGTCAACATCACAACATCACAACATATCAACATCACAACATCACAACATCACAACATATCAACATCACAACATGTCAACATCACAACATGTCAACATAACAACATGACAACATGTCAACATGTCAACATCACAACATCACAATATCACAACATGTCAACATAACAACATAACAACATAACAACATCAGCATTTACAGCTCAGAGGTTTATGATTCTGTGATTCAAATCATCAGAGGATAGAAACAGAAGTGATGGAGGACAAACTGCACAGCTCAAATCTTCACCCTCACTGATGAAACATCTTTATAAATCAAATCAGCTGTTTGTCTTAGATAATTAATGTTTATTGTCATTTGTCCAGATAAATAACTTCAGGTCAGACTGAAACTGTCTGAAGCTTTCCTGCTCTTTTGTTTTAAACATACAAGTTACTGAATATTAGATCAGAAAAGTTATACTTTATTGTCCCCTTTGGGAAACCTTTCTTGGCCTCCGTACAGCTGCAGTTTACAGAGTACAGAACAATTACACAGAAATCAACAAATCAGCAGCTGCAGGCAGCTGTCCAGAAATGTCTTGGCTCCTGAAAGGTCCAGTGAAGGGGCCCCCAGGATCTGATTTAAATCAATGTATTCTCATTGATCAGTACCATAGACTGTACATTTTATATATATATATATATATATATACAGCTCCCTCCTTTTCTTCTTACTACTCTTCACTTTTCTAAATCTTCCTCAACAAACAAAAGATAATTAAACAGGCCTCTCCCTCTTTCACCAACATGTCAAAATACTTTTTAAATCTCTCCTTACGAGTCCCTTTCCATTTCTGACATCATGCTTTGTCTATGTCAATTGTACTACAATTGATAAGTAAATTGTTTCTGCTTGATTTAAATTGTTTGATTGCACACCGCACAAAGACCAGATGGATGTTTCCCAATGACACACGATTTCTGTTTCAATTACTATGACCTGTTCTTGATTTCTGGACTATGTGTGACTCTTTTCCCTTCTGACTTATATGATAATTTGATGTTAATATTAAACATATTTTTCTTACCAGCTTCCTTTGCCAACAAGTCCACCTTTTTATTTGCTGTATGTGCTGGAAACCACATACTACTACTCTACAGGTCATTATTTATATTTTCAGATAATTATTTCCCCGTTGAACAAATGGCATAAACGAGTAGGAACCTTTCTCCTTCCTTTGTTCGGGTAGGAACGGTTATCTTCTGGTACGCGCGTCTCTGACGTCATTTCCTGTGAATCTCTAATAAAGACGGGCCTGGCGGGAGCTCCGCAGGTCAAATTTTTTGGGTTTGTTCAGTGAATCCGGCGGGAATCGGAGTCATCAGAACCGCAAACATGGTGAGTACATACCGGTCAGGATGTCTGCGAGCCGCTCTGTACGGGACTCTGAGTATTTCACCGGTTATCGGTTTATTTTACCGACGGCGGGAGTTTGAATGAACGTCGGCTGAACGTCGGTGCAGAGCTGCGACTCTGACTTCAATATGATTCAAATATCAACTGGAAACAGTTTCTATCTAAAGTCACGTGTGGTTCAATCCGTTACCGGGACTCTGTAACGAGCAGTCGGTAGTTTAACGGCCTCTTGTTTGTAATGCTACATGTTAGCTAAGGGGCTAACCCACCGGTGTTATGATGACTCTGGTGTCCCTGATGAAAAGTTTCCTTTTCTGTCTTCCGGCTTCAATATAAACCAGTGAGAGGTCACACCGTGTTACCGGGAACAGCTCGGTTTAATTTAACAAACAAAACCAGAGGTCTTTAATGAAATCAGGACACACACACACACACACACACACACACACACACACACACACACCTTTGTTTCCTCCTCACCGTGTGTGTGTCTGTAACTTAATTATTCAGCTGTTTGTTTCTTTAAACACTTAAATCAGGATTTCCACCTGCAAGCTTTTAGAAAGGAGATATCTTTTATTAAAACCACAAGGGGAAACTACTGACACACACACACACACACACACACACACTATATAGTGCACAAACAGGATCCTATGGAGACATTGCAGGCTGAGGGGGGCTGCACATGAAAGATTCTCTGATTGGTTGGCGCAATATTCAGGAAGTGTCCTCTCCAGCTAACAGACCAATTTCCAGTCTTGGTCCACCGCTGGACTTGAACCGGAAACCCTCAATCTTTAGGGACCCCACAAAACCCTACAGATGTAGCCACCGCCCCCCCTACAAGAGAAACCCTTGTTTGGGTGTAATGGGTAGATGTTTTCCTGATGGTGAATAATTCTTAAACCATGAGTGTGTCTTATTACGGCGTGATGATGACTCCACGGTCAGAGAGGAGGGGTCTCGAGTCATGCCATTACAGGCCAGCAGGGGACAATCGTGCACGTTATTTTGATGCAACATGAATGATACAAATAAAACTGCTGTCTTAGTCCAGAACTTGTTGAAAGTATACTGATTATAGAACGGCCCAGCGTCCGGCCGATCACCGGTCGGTGTGCTTCTGTCTCCGCACTATAAATTCAATGTTTAGAACTAATGTGAAATATAAAACGAAACCTGTCGTGTTCATGTGCGTCTCTGATTGGTCCTCAGACGGTTGGTAAGAGCAGCAAGATGCTGCAGCACATCGACTTCAGGATGAGGTGCATCCTGCAGGACGGTCGTATCTTCATCGGCACCTTCAAAGCCTTCGACAAACACATGAACCTGATCCTGTGTGACTGCGACGAGTTCAGGAAGATCAAGTAGGTTCAACTCCTCAGGTCAAAGGTCATCAGGACCCTGATGCTCAGTCTGGTTTCCCTGCAGGACTCAGACTAATGAAGCTCTCTTGTGTTTTTTAAATATGAGGTAGAATCATCAGCAGCAGGGGGACAGAGTGGTTTCTACTATTCAACCTGATTTTACTCTCAGGTCTTTGGTGTGGCGTGACACTGGTCTCATAACTTTGCCTTTTTAACTCAATCAGGCCAAAGAACTCAAAGCAGCCGGAGCGAGAGGAGAAGAGGGTCCTGGGTTTGGTCCTGCTTCGGGGGGAGAACCTGGTTTCGATGACAGTGGAAGGCCCACCCCCTAAAGATGTAAGTGGAATCCTTCAGCCAATTAGAGGCAGGCTGTGGTGAGGTCATCAGAACTGATTGTAGATGTCTGAAACATTCACAGGTGGAGGTGTCAGAAAGTGTAGAAAACTGAAGAAAACGTCCTCATGATTTTCAGTATAAACATGTATAACATCGTTACCTCCCCCCCCTCTTTCAGACGGGTATTGCTCGTGTCCCGTTGGCCGGCGTGGCTGGAGGCCCAGGTGTGGGCCGGGCAGCGGGCCGTGGCGTCCCTGCAGGAGCTCCGATGCCTCAGGCTCCGGCCGGTCTTGCCGGGCCGGTCAGAGGAGTTGGTGGACCTTCACAGCAGGTAACTATGGTAACAGCAGTATGTGTTTTCCAAGCGAGTGATTTGTGCTCGGGTGATGACGGTTTCTCGTGTGTGTCCAGGTGATGACCCCGCAGGGCAGAGGAACGGTTGCTGCCGCAGCAGCAGGAGCGAGCATCGCAGGAGCTCCCACACAGTATCCACCTGGAAGAGGAGCCCCGCCCCCCATGGGCAGAGGAGCCCCGCCTCCAGGTGAGATGAAATGTCATTTGATGATTGATTGTACTGACTGCATCCATGCTGAGATCAGCAACCATTATATAACAGCTGTAGAAAATACAAATTTTGCTTTTCAAATTAAAAGCCTCTTCTGGCATTGCTTTGGAGAATCTATAATCATATTTACAGAACACTTTTATTCTGATGTTGGTGCATCAAGCTGCTCTCGATACCCCTTATAGGTTTCCCTGAAATCATCAGTTGTAAAACAGATCAGGCGTACGCTGAGGCGGAGTCACATGATTGATTTTGAAGTGGGACCTAATTTCAGCTTGATGGTGTGTTTGTTGTGAATTCTGACACACTCACTGAGAGCAGATTCACCGACTTCAGAACTTATTTTTCACCATAACGTCTGTCAACTGGCAGACAGCATCTTTAATCACCATGGTAACAGCAGGCCTGTCTGTTTAATCTGTCAGATTGTTCCCCTCGGATCATGAAAGATATGTTGGCAGGAAATATGTGCAGACCTCCAGCCAGAGGATTTATGATTAATGATGTTGGTTAGCTTGTTTTTGGTGGAGATGTTGAGACAGTGAGTGTTTTTGATGTTTGTATTTTGAGACGACTCAAACAGATCTGACTTTAACTCCTGTCTGAGTTTCAGAGGACGCTCTGATCTAACTCGTACAGTGTGAGCTTTGTGTGAGTGAATCTTTCACGACGCCCACTGAGTGTGACGTGAAATTACTCCAAAGATATTTTTCTAATCTTACAGAGCAGTTCTCCTGGTCTGTACATCATTTTAGAAATGGATTAACATCAGATTATTATCTGCCCTCGCTCCGTCTCTCTCTCTGTTAGTTTTCTGAACTGACACCTGAAATCACAGCTTGTGATTGATGCATGTTTTATTATTTACAGATGAACTCTCACCTCGTTAGCCTGTTTAAATCGAAATACTTAACACTGATGATCGTCTAAACTTTTAGAAACAGTTCGGAACAAAAGAGCAACGACTTCACCACGACTCACATTGTTTCTACCAACGACAACGTAGAAGCTGCTCTTAACCAGAATCTTCTACCTCAGCAGCTTTAAGAGTTGACCCGTTACTGAATCATCTCCTACCAACATGCTCGCCTCCTAAAATCTGATTGGCTGTCCCCATACTCCTCACTCTGTACTGATCTGATGTTTGGCTCCTCCCTCTTGCAGGTATGATGGGTCCGCCCCCTGGCATGCGACCCCCCATGGGTCCTCCGATGGGCATGCCTCCTGGTCGAGGAGCACCAATGGGAATGCCCCCTCCTGGCATGAGGCCGCCGCCCCCTGGCATGAGAGGTAAGCTGTTACCATGGAGATGGGTTAAGTTATCCCATCTGAGAAGCCAATCAGATCACAGCATCATGAATAATCCCTCTCTTGAAACTGATCATGTGACCTCTGCTCTACCTCTTTCAGGACCGCCACCTCCCGGGATGAGACCGCCTCCCCGGCCCTGAAGAAGCTCCGCCCCTTCATACTCACCTGTTGTATAGATTTTGTTTTTTTTATCTTGTTTTGTTTTTAAATAAAGTTTCCTCAGGATGGTTTGATTTCAGCTTTGGTGTTTTTTTAAAGTTTCCGTGGTAACCAGTTTATGAATGGTCTGGAGGAACAGCCAATCAGAGCGCTCAGAGTAATCTCATTAATTCACACAGAATAGGAACTAGAGCTGCGGGTGAAAGGTATAAAACTTTTAGATGATGTGTCCAGTAGATCTTTTTCTCTCCTTCCAAAATGAACCTCACTGCTGCCCCTCCCCCTCCGACCCGCCCTCCGTGGTCAGAGTGCGGCTGTTCACCTGATCTCCAGTCAGACGTGCAGCACAAAGTGACTTCAGTTCTTATTTCCTCTTCGTTCAAAAATCATATACATCAGTTTTTGTCTCGAGGGTTAATCATGGTGCTCCTGAACACACAGCGTCCCTGAGTGGGCGGGGCTTTCCCTTTCTGACACTCTGGCAGGCTAACGATTGGATAAAGAACGCCAGAAAATGAAGTATCTGAAACGTGTTTGAACCTCTGAGTGAAACTGGGTCAGTGTGAACACGGTGCTGAGAACAACAAACCCTGAGAGAGTTCCACTTCACTCTCTAAAGGGGGACATCACTCAGCGATAAGTTTAATGACTGTTTGAATTGTATCCTTAAAAGCATGTCATCTAGCTAACATGCTAATTTACTCGCTGTTTATTAAATCCTGAACTTCCCCTCGGGGATCAATAAAGTATTACCCTAAATGTGTTAGCATGCTAACTCAAGCTAATCAGTCAACAGTTTACCAGAGCATGCTGGGAATGTTATTCTCCCTGAAGGTGTTCCACCAATAAAACCTTTCAGTGAATCTCAGGGTCAGGCAGTGGAGAGTCTGGAGTCTGTTGGGGGGCGTCATTAAGACTTGTTTAAATCAGTGAACTTCTTGTGATGAAAGATAAACAGAAAACTCAAAGACACTTCAAATCCATTATTACCTCTTAAGGTATCATTTTAAGATTATTTCCTTTTTGATATGATGACGCGTTCGTCACGGCCTTTCTGCGTGTGCGCTGACTCGTCCCTCCTGTTTTCTTCTCTCCTGTCGATGGATAATTCTTTTTCAGTTTTGACTCTTTGTGACATCAACATTAATGCTGCAGTGCTTAGCAGGGCAAAGAGAGTGATGGCTGTCATGGGGCCCCCTGAGGGAGGTTTCCTAGTCATTGCAAACTTTGCACATTTTGAGGCTCTGGTTTGTCGGCCCTCAAAGGCCCCCCCCCCCCGCTGGTCTGGGGCCCCAAGCAGCACCTCTGGGTTCAGGTGACTTTATTTGCACCTGTAGATTTGTTGAGCAGCAGCGAGATAATGACATCATCGTGACCTTCATATTTACAGTCTATGACCATGACTCACAAATTACACATGACAGAGAGAAGGGACGCTTTTTAAAACCTACTAAAAACACTAAAATACTTTAAAAAATGATCAAAGTGCTGACGGATCGGCCAATCAGGGCGTATAAGAGAAATATCAACCAATGAAAATCAGTGTTGCTGCTCATCAATCACATTCCTCAGGCTGTGATGTTGATATAACAGATCTTAGTGTAACCATAGAGTGTAACCATAGAGTGTAACCATAGAGTGAACCATAGAGTGTAACCATAGAGTGAAACCATAGAGTGAACCATAGAGTGAACCATAGAGTGAACCATAGAGTGAACCATAGAGTGTAACCATAGAGTGTAACCATAGAGTGAACCATAGAGTGTAACCATAGAGTGAACCATAGAGTGTAACCATAGAGTGTAACCATAGAGTGAACCATAGAGTGAACCATAGAGTGTAACCATAGAGTGAACCATAGAGTGAACCATAGAGTGTAACCATAGAGTGAACCATAGAGTGTAACCATAGAGTGAAACCATAGAGTGAACCATAGAGTGAACCATAGAGTGTAACCATAGAGTGAACCATAGAGTGAAACCATAGAGTGAACCATAGAGTGAACCATAGAGTGTAACCATAGAGTGAACCATAGAGTGTAACCATAGAGTGAACCATAGAGTGTAACCATAGAGTGTAACCATAGAGTGAACCATAGAGTGTAACCATAGAGTGTAACCATAGAGTGAACCATAGAGTGTAACCATAGAGTGAACCATAGAGTGTAACCATAGAGTGAACCATAGAGTGAACCATAGAGTGTAACCATAGAGTGTAACCATAGAGTGTAACCATAGAGTGAACCATAGAGTGAACCATAGAGTGTAACCATAGAGTGAACCATAGAGTGTAACCATAGAGTGAACCATAGAGTGAACCATAGAGTGAACCATAGAGTGAACCATAGAGTGTAACCATAGAGTGAACCATAGAGTGAACCATAGAGTGTAACCATAGAGTGAACCATAGAGTGTAACCAGGGTTCATTGATTTGATTTAGCCTTCTATTTGTTTTTCTTTGAGAGGGGAGTGGCCTCAGTCAACCTCCATACATGATGATTAATTGTTTTTCATTTTATTTTGTATTTATTTATTTCCACATTTTTTTTTTTTTAACATTCCACAATCTCACCTGAACTCCACTAAAATCTATCAACCAATCAGAGCTCATCCCACTTATCATAAACATCCGGTTCACGAGGTCACTTCCTCATGTTGCACTGCCCAGGACGGGACAACTGGAACATGAACTAACACAGAGGTGAGTTTGTATGTTGTGTATTTTAATGTTAGTTTAAGTGATTAATGTCGTTGTTTGTTGTCTATGCAGAATCCCCTTGGAAAAACCGCTCATTTAAGCCACGGCTGTGTACGGGGCCTTGTCATTGAGAAACTTGGCATGTGTTTGTTTTTATTGATTACACTGCGGGATTTCAAAAGGTAATCCCATTGTTAATCCCGTTTTGTAGATATACAAGTAGATGATTGATTAATTCCATCCAATTGGATAAAGACTAAATTTAAAGGTATATTTATGTTGTGTGAAGTTTAAGTAATGTTTTTTTCAATGAGATCCGATAATGAATATTTCAATGAATTGAATTACTGTTCATGACCTTTTTTTTTTTTTTTAATAGGTCAGGTTTTATGGATGAAACTACTCTGTGAAGATGAGGAGCTAAACCCTGAGCTCTCCTCAGCCCTGCTTCATGTAGAGTTTAGAGAAAGACTTTCTTTAATGGGCCCAAGAAGCTTTTTCAATTAAGAGGACATTTATGTTGTTTGTGTTTGAACTTATTGTTTTGTTATATTGAAAGTATTTTTGAAATACAGTAATTATTATTTAAACTTACCTGTGTCTGGATTTTGTTGATATACACACGTGAGCTCCTAGAGACCTACCTTATTTCTTCTTTAGTTGAATTTGGCTTAAATGCACATTTAAAAATTAGCCCACATGCTACATTAGCATGTAGGATATTGGAAATAATTCGTTTTTTAATCTAAAACCAAACTGGATCAGGAAAAGAATATTTAAAGGGTTAAAACTGAAAATTAATGAATATTTGATTTATGAATCAGACTGATTAATGTAAAACTTTCTTATAGCCTTATTCTGAAAAGCAGTGATTTGTGTTTGTAATATTAAAGCGGTGTCTAAGGGGTCAAAGGTTAAAATTGATATAAGTTGTTTGTAGTGGCGATATCTATAGTCTATAAATAACAAAAATTCCAAACAAATTATAAACTTAACACAAACTCATAATGAAGCCACTGAGGCACCTAGAGGGAGACTCTTACGCAGGATATATGAATAAGTCCAGATGATGATTGAAGGTTTTAGGGTGGTTTATTTTATCCAGAGACATCAAGCAGGCAACAAACAACAAAAAACGCTGCTGTCTCTCTTGCCCTGTCATCCTGCCATGGCTTCCTGGTAAAAAACCATTAACCCATTAGGTGCCTACCTGAGTCTCACCTGGCTATAAAGACACACCCATGTACAGACTCCACCCTTATGCCCCAAGTAGCAAAATAAACGAATGGATATGACTCGTATGAAACAATAATAATCAAAATACCCCGAACATAATTTCATGTTCAAATGTATCCCCAAAATATCCTCAAAATAAGAATATAGACTTTCACTTAATTTAGGAACAGTGAATAGCTGTACTATTGTTAAAATAATAAAATGAAGATCTTGAAGATTGACACTATCTCACACCCCATCCTCCTCAGTAGACTCTCCTCCATTGGCATCACTCACACCCCCCTTACCTGGTTCCACTCTTATCTCTCAGGCCGCACTCAGTTCATACAGCTCAAATCCTTCAAATCCGAGCCTTCCCCAGTCACTACAGGTGTGCCCCAGGGCTCTGTCCTGGGGCCCCTTCTCTTCATCACTTACCTTCTCCCCCTTGGCAATATTTTCTGTAAATTCAATATACTTTTCCACTGCTTTGCGGATGACACCCAGCTCTACCTCTCCAGTAAACCAAACTCCACACTTCCACCCTCCTCCCTCACTTCTTGTTTATCTGAAATAAAATCCTGGTTCTCCTCAAACTTCCTTAAATTAAACTGATAAAACCGAGATCCTTCTCGTCGGCACTAAATCCATATTATCCAGAGTTGGCAGTTTCTCCCTCACTATTGACAGCTCCTCAGTTTCCCCTTCCCCTCAGGTTAAGAGTCTGGGTGTCATCCTCGACAGCACACTATCATTCAAATCCCATATCAGTAACATTACCCGGTCTGCATACTTCCACTTACGAAACATCAACCGTCTCACTCTAACATTTTAACTGCAAACTGTCCAACATTTCATTTCTTTATTGTTTGCTGTTTTTTTATCCATCGCTGTTTTTAAAATGTTGATCGTTGTACAGTGTCTTATAAATAATATTTATTATTATTATCTTGAGTTTCGTTGATTTTGAGGAGAGGTCGCCCTCTGGTGGTGAAGACTGACATTACAGGGGTCTATCCATCACGTGATTGGCTGTGGTCATATGACCTGCTGTTGCTATTGCTATGTCGGCAGCTGCTCTCACACACTCTTCCTGCTGCTGAGCCAGCTGAACACAACCGACGAGGTGAGTCTCTGAGTTTAAATCTTCTTTGTTTCTAAATCTTCAAAGGCTGTTTCTTTGTTACGTCATTTAAACGTGTTGTTGTGTAGCACTTAGCCTGAGCTAGCCTACTTCCGGGTTATAAAGGTGAACACGAACTATCTTCAGTGAGTTTTAAACTGTGTTAAGAATATTATTATTCTCTTTTAGTCGATTATATGAGCAGTTAGTCAGTGTGGCGGTAAAACAACAGCTTCAACTAACTCTAACCCTGTTCTGTGCGCATGCGCTGTGTCTACCAAAACTCACCCAGTTAACACGGGATTAAACATTAGTTTCCCCAACGAGTAAATTAAACAGATATTATGAACACGCTTTGTATTGTTTCTGAATGTAAACCCCTTTATGCTGAATTCGGCTGACAGAAAATCAATCTCAGTCTTTACTTCCTCTTAGAAATCATGAGTTTCTGTCTGCTGGTCACTTAAAACCTCAGACTGCTGATGAAGCGTTTTCATCACTAAATCATTTCAAAGAAAACTTCTATTTTCACGACTCAGAACACTGATTCAGTCAGTGATTCTACTTGGTACCAGTCTGATCGCAGTGTTTCCTTCACCTCGTGTTGAAGTTTGCAGGGATTGTTTCTATGTCCTCAGTTCAGATCTTTATTGTCTCTGGAAGGGAAATTTGATTTGCAGCAGAGGACACAAACAGACATAAGACAACACAACCTGATGAGATACAACCAAGAAATATAAAAGTTTCACTCAAATGGTATAAATATAAAGTCCAATAGCTCTGCTTGAAAGTGCAGTCAAGGATTTAAAGAAGATTAAGAGCATGAACTGCACGAGGAACATGTGAACATTTAAATGTGTTTGTCTTAGCCCTGGGCAGCCTGAACCTCCGACCTGAGGGGAGAAGAACAGATTCCTCTAAGAGAGGACGGTCAGAGCTGGACAAGATAGACTTTGCTTTCCTAACAACTTGTCTGTTTTAGGTTTCTGAAAGCTGCTGAGTGCCGATTGTTTTACTGGCTGTATTGACCGTTTGTTTTTTTGAACATTGATCTTTAAGAAGTGGTGGTCGCACCACTCCACAAACTCCTTCACAGCAGGCCCGTGATCGACCTCTCCATCCTGCAGCAGACTGATTAGAACAGTGTCGTCTGCAAACTTCAGGAGAAGCCTGTTGTCATAGGTGCTGCTGCAGTCGTTTGGATATAGAATAAAGGGGACAGGACACACCCCTGGGGTGAGCCTGTGGGTGACAGCCGCTTCTCAGATAGAGCACCCTGACTGCCTGAGGCCTGCAAGTTAAAAAAGTCCAAGACCCGTTTCACCAACCCAGCATCAAGGTTCAAACTGGGACAGCAGTTCTTTGCTGGTTGATTGTATTAAAGGTTGGCCCTGTCCGCCAACCTCATTTAAAATCCAGTAATTAAACAAACATTTTCTTCCCTGAGTGAACTAAAGCAAGTTAATAATCCAGACTAACACAATTTTTGAATCTTTAACTTGGAGTCACAAATAAACAACTTAATGCCTCACTACTTTTGGTTGCATCGTTTTCTGAATTGTGTTATTTGTGTTTTATGCTTTTATTGCTGTGTGTGTGTGTGTGTGTGTGTGTGTAAAAGTCTCTGTATGAATATATTTTACTGACAAACACAAGATCTTCCACATGACAGAGCTGGTGTCATAAACTTTATCAGCACTTATATAATTAAACTTTGAGTCACATTTCAGTTCTGTTTTTCAGATGCAGGCTATGTTGCTGTGTTACTTCCTGTTCTCACTGCTGGGCAGTGAAGCGGCTCCGGGTGCAGACGAGGTGAAGTACCTGCCCGGTCTGCAGAAACAGCCGAGCTTCAAGCAGTACTCTGGATACCTGAGTGTGGCCAACGGAAAACACCTGCACTACTGGTCAGTACCTGAGACAAATTGACATTTTAAGCGTTTTAGGAATGAATGAAACTCAGGAGTGGCTGCACAAACAGCTCGCAGTAAATATCTATTTACAAAGCAGTGACTTCTGCGTCCTTCCTCTTCTTTCTTTTATTCTTTATTTTGAACAATTAAAAATAGATGAAAATGAATAAACAAATGAAAAAAAATAAAAACCTGTATAAAATAAAAAAGCCAATTTCAATATAATACACATTTGACTCATTTGAAAAGGGATAGGAAGAAGCCTAGGCTTGTCAAGACCTACCACCATTCTTCACCATTAACAAATGCAAAATCCAATAAAATAAACTAAACGGACAATACAAAAGAAAATACTCCAATCGAGCGATTAAGAAAAACAGAACAGAACAAAATGAACAGGCGCCATTAACATCTGTGAGATTTACATTCTCCTTCCTCATTGCTGTACTTTTCAAAGATGTAACTTTTGTACATTTTTTAAAATTGCATTATATTCACACTTTGTTTAATCGTTTTGTCAAGACCATTCCACAAAACCACCCCACAAATGGAAATACACATACTTTTTAAATTGGTCCGAGCATAATGCTGTTTCAAGTTTAGTTTCCCTCTAAAGTTATAACCCCCCTCTCTGTCTTTGAACAGTTTTTGTATGTTTACAGGTAGCAGTTTATTTTTTGCTTTATACATTATTTGTGCAGTCTTAAATTCTACCAGATCCCCAAACTTTAAGCTGTGTAATTTTAAAAACAGTATATTGGTGTGTTCATAATATCCTACATGGTTTACTTAAGAATGGCTCTTCTTCGTAGTGTGCTTAGTGATTGTAAGGTGTTCTCATGAGAAGTATGTAACACCTGTAGCTCGAGCTACGTTTAGCACGTCTGATCCCTGTGCTGCACCACCTCACCTGTATGTTAATCTGAGAGTCAGATCAGACAAGACGAGCTCACCTGGGATGTTGGCGGAAACACCTGTGCACCTTGGCGTCAGTACCGTGTCATCACGTCACCTGACTTTTTGTGTTCAGGTTTTGGAGTCTCAGAAGGAGCCGTTCCTCTGATCCCGTGGTTCTGTGGTTAAACGGCGGTCCAGCTGCAGCTCTCTGGACGGACTGCTGACTGAACACGGACCCTTCCTGTAGTAAACCGTGACTCCGCCCACTTTAGTCAGTCACCTGCATGTATGTGTGACACCTGCTGACCTCTGACCTCTGTGGTTTCAGATCCAGGATGACGGCGTGACGCTGCAGTACAACCCGTACTCCTGGAACAAGGTCAGTAATAATCTGAACACGTTTTACCTGCTCGCCGTCAGGACTCAGCGGTGAGGTCACATGTTATCAAAGTGTAATTCCTCAAAGCTGATTGTTCTTCATCTCTTCAACAGATTTCCAACGTGTTGTACCTGAGTCTCCAGCAGGCGTCGGCTTCTCGTACGCTGATGATCAAAACTACGTCACCAACGACACCGAGGTCAGCGACACGCCAGCTCCTGATTGGCTCTCAGGTGTTGACTGTCAGGTGTGTCAAGTGTTTGTTTTTTCTCCTCAGGTGTCCATGAACAACTACCTGGCTCTGAAGGAGTTCTTCCGCTTGTTTCCAGAGTTCAGCAAGAACGAACTTTTCCTGACCGGAGAGAGCTACGGAGGAATCTACATCCCGACGCTCGCCGAGAGAGTGATGGAGGACGAGAGCCTCAACCTGCAGGTACACACTCACACATACACACTCTGAGGTACACACTCACACATACACACTCTGAGGTACACACTCACACATACACACTCTGAGGTACACACTCTGAGGTACACACTCTGAGGTACACACTCTGAGGTACACACTCTGAGGTACACACTCACACATACACACTCTGAGGTACACACTCACACATACACACTCTGAGGTACACACTCTGAGGTACACACTCTGAGGTACACACTCTGAGGTACACACTCTGAGGTACACACTCTGAGGTACACACTCTGAGGTACACACTCACACATACACATACACACTCTGAGGTACACACTCACACATACACACTCTGAGGTACACACTCACACATAGACACTCACACATACACACTCTGAGGTAGACACTCACACATACACACTCTGAGGTACACACTCACACATACACACTCTGAGGTACACACTCACACATACACACTCTGAGGTACACACTCACACATACACACTCTGAGGTACACACTCTGAGGTACACACTCTGAGGTACACACTCACACATACACACTCTGAGGTACACACTCTGAGGTACACACTCTGAGGTACACACTCTGAGGTACACACTCACACATACACACTCTGAGGTACACACTCTGAGGTACACACTCTGAGGTACACACTCACACATACACACTCTGAGGTACACATACACACTCTGAGGTACACATACACACTCTGAGGTACACACTCACACATACACACTCTGAGGTACACATACACACTCTGAGGTACACATACACACTCTGAGGTACACACTCACACATACACACTCACACGTACACACTCTGAGGTACACACTCACACGTACACACTCACACGTACACACTCTGAGGTACACACTCTGAGGTACACACTCTGAGGTACACACTCTGAGGTACACACTCACACATACACACTCTGAGGTACACATACACACTCTGAGGTACACATACACACTCTGAGGTACACACTCACACATACACACTCTGAGGTACACATACACACTCTGAGGTACACATACACACTCTGAGGTACACACTCACACATACACACTCTGAGGTACACATACACACTCTGAGGTACACATACACACTCTGAGGTACACACTCACACATACACACTCACACGTACACACTCTGAGGTACACACTCACACATACACACTCACACGTACACACTCTGAGGTACACACTCACACGTACACACTCACACGTACACACTCACACGTACACACTCACACGTACACACTCTGAGGTACACACTCTGAGGTACACATACACACTCTGAGGTACACATACACACTCTGAGGTACACACTCACACGTACACACTCACACATAGACACTCACACATACACACTCTGAGGTACACACTCACACGTACACACTCACACGTACACACTCTGAGGTACACATACACACTCTGAGGTACACACTCTGAGGTACACATACACACTCTGAGGTACACACTCTGAGGTACACATACACACTCTGAGGTACACACTCTGAGGTACACATACACACTCTGAGGTACACACTCTGAGGTACACATACACACTCTGAGGTACACACTCTGAGGTACACATACACACTCTGAGGTACACATACACACTCTGAGGTACACATACACACTCTGAGGTACACATACACACTCTGAGGTACACACTCACACGTACACACTCTGAGGTACACACTCACACGTACACACTCTGAGGTACACACTCACACATACACACTCTGAGGTACACACTCACACGTACACACTCTGAGGTACACACTCACACGTACACACTCTGAGGTACACACTCACACGTACACACTCTGAGGTACACACTCACACGTACACACTCTGAGGTACACACTCACACGTACACACTCTGAGGTACACACTCACACGTACACACTCACACGTACACACTCTGAGGTACACACTCACACGTACACACTCTGAGGTACACACTCACACGTACACACTCTGAGGTACACACTCTCACCTGTGTTGCAGGGCGTTGCCGTGGGAAACGGGATGTCGAGTTACGAGATGAACGATAACTCTCTGGTTTACTTTGCGTATTATCACGGGCTGCTGGGGAGTCGACTGTGGAGCGAGCTGCAGACGTTCTGCTGCAAGGGCGGGAAGTGCAACTTCTACGACAACCACAACCACAACTGCTCGCTCAGCGTGAGTCCACACACACACACACACACACACACACACACACACACACACACACACACACACACACACACACAGGTAACACACCTGATGTTTTGTTTGCTCTGCAGCTCTCTGAGGTTCAGGACATCGTCTACAGTTCAGGTCTGAACATGTACAACCTGTACGCCCCCTGCCCAGGTGGAGTCCGCCAGAGAGTCAGGTACGATATGACCTTTCACCCCTGACTCGTTAAGGAGGGTTATCGAGGGTTTTTGGTGCCGTTACCTGATTGGTCAGTACCGATAATATCATGTACAAACGAACTAGCTGCAAAGCTGCAGTCTGAATGAAGAATCTTCAGCTCATCAGGCGGTCTAGTTTCCAGTTTGATCCAGCAGAGGGCGCTCTCAGTGTAACTTGACCATTGCATGACCTCTTGACCTCAGGAAATGAAAGGAACGTCTGTGTGCTCTGGCAAAAATATAATAAAATAAATCTGTCTTGTCAACAGGCGGTTTGGTTTTAGACTTGTTGTTGTCATGATAATGTTTTGTGTCTGTGCACACGGTGAGGTTTGACTTTCTGCTTTCTTTTTCTTTCAGTATTGAAAAAGGTGAGCTGGTGATCCGAGACCTGGGGAACTCGTTCATCAGTCATCAGTGGACCCAGCTGTGGAACCAGGTGTGTGTACTCACCTGATGTTTAACTATGAGTCCTCTCACCTGAGCGTGGAGCGATGTCATGGTTCTCCTCTGACTCTCTCTCTGTGTGTGTGTGAGCAGAAGTTACGAGGTCTGGCGTCCCTCCACCGGAACGTCCGTCTGGACCCCCCCTGCACCAACTCCACCCCCTCCTCCCTCTACCTGAACAACCCGTTCGTCAGAGGTGCTCTGCACATCAGCCCTAAAGCTCTGGACTGGGTCATCTGCAGGTAACACATGAAGCTTTTCTGTTAAAGTTCAGATTTTAAATAAAGTTTTTTTTTAAAATGGACGTGTTGTGTTGCAGCTCTGAGGTGAACCTGAACTACGGCCGTCTCTACATGGACGTCAGGAAACAGTACCTGAAGCTGCTCAGTGCGCTGGTCAGTGAACGCAACACCTGTTTACCTCACTCACATTCTCAACGTTTTTACAAACTCTCCATGTTTACACAAAACCATCTCTGACATCAATCAGAACGCTGCATGGTACCTGAGGTGGGCGTGGCTTGTTTGTCCAGGTGTCTTCCTTGTTGACAGTGTTTTGTTCTCTGTGCAGAAGTATCGTGTCCTGGTGTATAATGGTGACGTGGACATGGCGTGCAACTTCATGGGAGACGAATGGTTCGTTGAGTCTCTGCACCAGCAGGTAAGGTCACCTGAAGGGGCCCCGGTAGTGTAGTGGTTGGTGCATGTGCCCAATGTGCAGTTCTCCGGGCGGGCATCCTGGGTTCAAATCCCATCTCATCCAGATTTTCTCACCCGTGTGATGTCACTCACCTGTGTGACGTCACTGTCCTGTGTGATGTCACTCTCCTGTGTGATGTCACTCTCCTTTGTGATGTCACTCTCCTGTGTGATGTCACTGTCCTGTGTGATGTCACTCTCCTTTGTGATGTCACTGTCCTGTGTGATGTCACTCTCCTTTGTGATGTCACTCTCCTGTGTGATGTCACTCTTCTTTGTGATGTCACTCTCCTTTGTGATGTCACTGTCCTGTGTGATGTCACTGTCCTTTGTGACATCACTGTCCTTTGTGACGTCACTCTCCTGTGTGATGTCACTCACCTGTGTGACGTCACTCTCCTGTGTGATGTCACTCACCTGTGTGATGTCACTCTCAGGTGGAGGTTCAGAGACGTCCGTGGCTCTACGACGACGAGGAGGGTCGGCAGGTCGGAGGCTTCGTCAAAGAGTTCGATAACATCGCCTTCCTCACCATCAAGGTAAGCCCCGCTGTCTTCACCGTCAGCTGACCTTGTGATGTCACCCTTTGGGTTTTTGGGGGGCGGGGCTCTGTAGTAGCTCACCTGACCTCTGTCTTCCTGCAGGGATCTGGTCACATGGTTCCAACGGACAAACCAATCGCTGCATACGCCATGTTCTCCAGATTCATCACCAGACAACCTTACTGACCTCTGACCTCTGACCTGCTGCTTCACCTTCATGCTGCATCCAAATTGTCAAGTACCTACTCAATCTGTCAGTAGGCAGTATCTACTATTCAGTAGGCAGATATTTGTTCCTACTTCTTCTGATTCATTCAGTAAGGAAGTGACGTCATTTATGTTTCCCGAACCGGCCGCATTCACCCGTTTTTTTTGTTTGTTTTTTTTTGTTTATCTTTATTGAAGAAGAGTAATGCTCATATACAGTCAGGTAAACAAAAAACAATATCACAATGTAAATCAAGTAAAAGATGAAATAACTAAATAACATTATTTAGTATACAAATAGGAATATAAAGTAAAATAAACAAATAAAGACACATTTAAATAGTGACATCATTATTTAAATAGTGACATCATTATTTAAATAGTGAAATCATTATTTAAATAGAGGGGGGAAAGGTTTTATAATAATGCAGATATTTGTTATATTTTCTGTTGTTAATTTAAAGTAGTGATTTCAGTCGGGACTTTAACTCTAGATTAAAAATTGATTAAATTAATCCACGCTCGTTTGTTTTGATTTGGAGGCGGACGTGACGTGACGATTTACATTTTAATTTCGCACAGCATTGTGGGTAAAACACAATGCATTTCCTGAAAGCACGCATCCGATCCATACTGCATGAAACCAGGAAGTTAGTATCCATACTGAAATGTTCAGTATACTGAGGAGGACCCAAACAATGACCACTGAATGACCACAAGGGTTCAGTCTGCTGAAACTCCTACTGAAAAGTACTGACTACTGAACTATGGATATTCAGAAAGGGCCTTTGATTTGATGGGGATTATTTTCTTCACACTGCCAGCCAATCAGCATAGTTCTGCCCTTTTTCTGCCTGGCAACCAGGTTATTGTTGCAAAAAATTAAGTGTCAACCTCAGCCAATCACATTACTCCCACTGGTCTACCTGCTCTAACGGCCGTCATGGCAACATGTGGTTGTCGTAGAAACATGCACTGCCCTACTCCCGCTACTCTGAATGTGAAACTTTTTTTGGGTGTTTGTTGATTTTTAAAAGGGAAATAAAATTATTAATCTCAAACTTGATTCTATTTTTATTTCAACTTCAGCTGCAAATAAAAATGTTTCCTTTAATAACTACTTCTCCATGTTCCTCTAACTCTAACATGTGTCTCTAGTCCGTCTACAAACCCCCCAATGATGAGAAAAGTCCATCCTCTCCGTCTTCTGCCTTCTCCACTTTTCAGAAAATGTGTGCTCAAACAGGCCGTTTGGAGATTTATCCCTTCATGACATCACAAAGGGCAGTAGCCCCTCCCCCAGGTGGGTGACACTCCCACATCTAGGTGTTTGTTCTGCCCTCTGAGTCTGCCTTCTCACCGTAAACAATAGGACATGGAGAGATAAAGCAGAGAGACACCAAGCCCTTCCAGAGAGGGGGCGTGGTCAGACACAGCTCATTTACATATTTAAAGGTACAGACACAGAAACAGCCTGTTCTGAGCAGGGCTGAAATAGAGGGGTTTATAGACATGATCAAATACAGGATCAGAGTGGATTTAGAACAAGAAACTTCACACACATGTTTTGAGGAGATCTGAGACTTATTTAAACTGAAGAGGAGGAGGAGGATATGTCACCTTTAAACCTGATTTGATAGTTTTGTTAAATGACTTATCAAACTGATGTCAACACACTGAAGTCGGAAGAACAACATCACACTGTCGACGTGGAAACTGGGACCATCCGAAGACCAACGTGGGAAGATTTCAGCTGCAGCCAGTCCTGAAATTTCCAGGAGTGCGTGTGTGTGTAAACATCGTCGGCCTGTCTCACTCTCTGGGACAGAGTGAGACACTTAAACTGGTTCAGTTTGTTTATTGACAGTAAACTGATTCAGCGTTAGTGTACACATTACACTGATGTGAAGTCTGAGCCTGGCAGTCAAGTTTGGGGAGAAGACGACACATCAGCTCCTCTCTCCTGCTGAGGAACACAGTGTGAAGTTACCCAGCCGTCTCTGAAGGCACCAGCAGCAGGTGAGTTTTTGACTTTCAGAGTGACCTGACTGTTTTCACAGTTCAGTGTGTTAGCATGTGAGCTCACCTGGGGATCAGAGAGAGAACCGAGGACTCACCTGAGCAGGTACGACACCTTCACCTGTGAATTAAACTGAACATGTTTTGTTTTAAAAACTGAGAATAACTAAAGGGAACATTTTAAAATCAAAGAGAGATTAATAATTAACTAAGATTAGATAATTTTTATTTTGTTTGATTTAAATTAAGAGCATGAAATAACATTCATTTTAATAGTTATTGTATTTAACATTATTATTTTTAGCTGTAACTGATGACAGGGTGAGCATGTGTTTCATAGTTATAACCGGAGTCTTACCTGCAGGTCTACCTCTCATATCCTCCATGTGACCTGAGCTCCTTATTATCACTAACTGAGGCTTTAATCATTGTCCTCCATCAAGTTAGACCACTTGTTCCCAACCTGGGGTTCGGGTACCCAAAGGTCTTGTGAGGCTCTCAAAATAAGATCTGCACATATAACTCACATCCAAAGGTCTTTATAAGTACCTGTAGGCTTACTCTTTTGTCAATGTAAACAATTACGTACGTTTTTAAGAGCACTGTGTCATTTTTTTCATTCACTTCCTGGGGGGTCTGAAGGGGTCAGGAGGGGGGCAGGGTAGGGGTTAGCTTTTCTAAGATACAATTGGCAGGGCTCCAACGTAAAAAAGGTTGGGAACCGTGACGTGCGACGACGATGTGAAAGTGTTCATCCCTCCTGCGTCTGTTAAAGTGTGATCAGAGAAACATGTTAATCAGTTTGTGTGTCAGCTGAGTTCATGTTACTGATTAAAGGTTTCATCACACACTCTTCACTGGGTTTAACGTCCTGTAAGGAGATATTTTTCAACAAGAACAACGAACACTGAATAAATAATAAAAGATCTCCTCATAACGAAGTCAAATATCAGAAGGTGTAACACGTCAGAGTCAATATTAATGATGATTCTGCAGGCTGAATGTCAGAGTCATTAAAGCACGGACTGAGACTTTAAAGGAGCAGTATGTAACTCTGACCCTTAGTGGTTAAAATGGGTACTGCAGTCTAAATTCTAAACATCATAGAGAGCTGTCTCCCCCCCCCCCCTCACTCAGGTCACCATGTGGTGGACTCTGAAGCTTCAGTGTTTATCCAGCTCTGCATGGGTCTGTAAACCTTTCTGTGTTCTAACCTCTCTCCATTTTTCAAAAGCATCTCCAATATTGATCCTAGTTTGAGCACGTTTCTGCTCGTGGAGCTTATTAGAAACATGCAGAGGCTTTTTAGGTCGGGTACAATCACTTCTATCTGAACCACTTCACTTGACCGCTTCCATCGCTGCAACACCTGTTGACCTGATAACTGCTCTCATATCTGACAAACTGAGGGGCGTCCAAAACGGCCGTGTGGGGGCGTGTCTTAAAACCGTCTACCTTCTCTGGTCCAAACAAATCCAGAATCTACCAAGACGACAAAATAACGAAACAAGAAAAAGGTCACATGAATTAAACTCTCTCTCTCTCAGGTGAGCAGCTGTGATTGGAGTCATGGACCAATCACCGTCCAGTGGACGGGGCGATGTGAGCGTGCTCAGTTGTTTCCCGTCTAATGTGGGCAAGGATGTTGCTGTAGCTGTGATTAAGCCCCTTCACCTTGGCCTTGGAAACCCTGACAGTCGCAGCCTGCTTCACACAGACAGACAGGTGTGTGTGTTGCCTCCATGGAAAACTGTACACAAACACTGAAGTGTTGATGTGTAATCTGCATTCAGAGTTTACTCAACATGTCGAGTCTAAAAATGATTCACTCTGTCGGTTCAATGAGTTCTTTATTTATAACGCTGTTGGTTGACAAAGTAACAAAAACACAGATCATCCGTTTAAACTTCCTCTGACAACAATCCTTCAAGTTAACTCCTGAGGCGTTTCTATAAACCGGATCTATAAACAAGTCTGAAATGAAAACGTCTCTACAGCAGCTTGATGGCGACGCTCTGATTGGTCAATGTTAAACCTGTGTGTGTGTTTTCAGGTGAAGTGGACGATGGAGGTGTTGTGTTACGGTTTGGCTCTACCGTTGGACGGAGACACGGTCAAACACTGTGTGGACGTCTACACCAATTGGCTGACGGCGCTGGTTTCCCCGAGAGACTCCATCCCTCCTCCAATCAGCCGAGAGCCCAACCTGTACGTCCAGAAGATCCTCAGACACCTGTACAGCCTGTTCCTGCCCAGGTACACCACCACACCTGGACCCCTGACTTACTGTACCATATAAACGTTTATAAATCCCTCCCCCTCCTCCCTCCAGGTCGGACCAGGTGAGCCCGGTCTACCTGTCTCTCTGTCAGCAGGTGTTGTGTGCAGTTCAGTCATTGGCCAGAGAGAGCGCTGTGATGAGCAGAGACACCTGGGAGACGGTGCTGAACTTCCTGCTCCGTGTCAACCACACCATGCTGGCTCCGCCTACCACTGCAAGTATGTCTTTAGTCCTGCCCCTCTGACCCATCTGTCCTCACCTGTCTGTCTCTCTCTCTGCAGGTGAACAGCTGTGTGACCTGTCTGTCTCTCTCTCTGCAGGTGAACAGCTGTCTGACCTGTCTGTCTCTCTCTCTGCAGGTGAACAGCTGTGTGACCTGTCTGTCTCTCTCTCTGCAGGTGAACAGCTGTCTGACCTGTCTGTCTCTCTCTCTACAGGTGAACAGTTGTGTGACCTGTCTGTCTCTCTCTCTGCAGGTGAACAGCTGTGTGACCTGTCTGTCTCTCTCTCTGCAGGTGAACAGCTGTGTGACCTGTCTGTCTCTCTCTCTGCAGGTGAACAGCTGTCTGACCTGTCTGTCTCTCTCTCTCTACAGGTGAACAGTTGTGTGACCTGTCTGTCTCTCTCTCTGCAGGTGAACAGCTGTGTGACCTGTCTGTCTCTCTCTCTGCAGGTGAACAGCTGTCTGACCTGTCTGTCTCTCTCTCTGCAGGTGAACAGCTGTGTGACCTGTCTCTCTCTCTCTCTCTCTGCAGGTGAACAGCTGTGTGACCTGTCTGTCTCTCTCTATGTCCTGTCTCTCTCTCTGCAGGTGAACAGCTGTGTGACCTGTCTGTCTCTCTCTCTCTCTGCAGGTGAACAGCTGTGTGACCTGTCTGTCTCTCTCTATGTCCTGTCTCTCTCTCTGCAGGTGAACAGCTGTGTGACCTGTCTCTCTCTCTCTCTCTCTGCAGGTGAACAGCTGTGTGACCTGTCTGTCTCTCTCTCTGCAGGTGAACAGCTGTGTGACCTGTCTGTCTCTCTCTCTGCAGGTGAACAGCTGTGTGACCTGTCTGTCTCTCTCTCTGCAGGTGAACAGCTGTGTGACCTGTCTGTCTCTCTCTCTGCAGGTGAACAGCTGTCTGACCTGTCTGTCTCTCTCTCTCTACAGGTGAACAGTTGTCTGACCTGTCTGTCTCTCTCTCTGCAGGTGAACAGCTGTGTGACCTGTCTCTCTCTCTCTCTCTCTCTCTGCAGGTGAACAGCTGTGTGACCTGTCTGTCTCTCTCTATGTCCTGTCTCTCTCTCTGCAGGTGAACAGCTGTGTGACCTGTCTGTCTCTCTCTATGTCCTGTCTCTCTCTCTGCAGGTGAACAGCTATGTGACCTGTCTGTCTCTCTCTTTGGCCTGTCTCTCTCTCTCTGCAGGTGAACAGCTGTCTGAGCTGTCGATGACGGTGCTGTTTGAGGTGTGGTTGCTGTCTTGCTCTCGGTGTTTCCCGTCTCGCTCTCTGTGGCAGACAGGCAGACAGATGTTGAGCAGCTGGAGACATCAGCCAGCTGTGGTGGAGCAGTGGAGCCGGGTTAGCTCCGCCCTCACCTCCAGGTGAGCAGGTAGACAGGGAAACTCTTCATCCTGTAGCTCCCTGATTAATCCTTTCACTGTGTGTTTGTTCAGGTGTGTCAATCTTGTGTGTGTGTGTGTGTGTGTGTGTGTGTGTGTGTGTGTGTGTGTGTGTGTGTGTGTGTGTGTGTGTGTGTGTGTGTGTGTGTGTGTGTGTGTGTGTGTGTGTGTGTGTGTGTGTGTGTGTGTGTGTGTGTGTGTGTGTGTGTGTGTGTGTGTGTGTGTGTGTGCGTGTGCGCTCTCAGGTTGTTGCTGCTCACCTTCAGTCCGTCCTTCCCTCCGTTTAAAGTCCCCGATGAGGACGCCGCTCTGATCCCTGCAGACATGGACGATGAACGAGTGTCTCACACCTGGTTCAGGTTCTTACACCTGCTCAGGTAACACACGAGTCACGACCTTCTGATGAGTGAATCACTGAAAGTTGGTTTGATTCTGTGTATTTGTAACAAAAAACAGTATAAAACCCTTTAACTGTCAGTTTATGATTTAATAACCTTCTTATCTCCTGAGGAGAGACGTGATGAAAGCAACAGAGTCCGCTATACCACGCTGTAAGGAGAATATTTTTCTTGATATAGAAACATTCAGCTGTTTGTGTTCACACATGTAGCAACCTCCAGTGTTGAAACATGAAGCCGATGCTGAAGTGTAAACTTCAGTTCCTCAAGTGTCCACTAGAGGCTGGCTGCAGCAGCACAGGAAGTCACATACACACCCATTCTAAAAAGCCTGTTTTTACAGCAGAGATGAACATGTTTACAGCCTGGTTCAAAAAACCAAATAGGTGTGATTAGCTCATGTCTGGATGGACACACACTGTACGGGGGGTGAATGTTTTGATGACTCATCAGTTTTGATTTGATGAAGGATAAGAGTTATTCACAATAAGGCGTGTAGCTGACCTGATTGACAGGTGGGCGCGGTGTAACGGTTTGTCAGGAGGTTTAAAACCCGCCTCAGCTCCAGCTCTCAGCCTGTCGTTAGGTTGACTGAAAGTTAGACTGAGACAGCATTTCCAGCATGGAGACCGCCATCGATGGGACTCCAGCGCCCCCTGCAGGGACAGACGGGGGACGTCACTCAGGCTACAAATATTCATATTGTGCTGATGATGTTAAAGTTGTTGGTTTTGAATCTAACCATTAAATGACCTTCGGTGTATTTGATTAACATGCAGGACGACCTCATGATGATGTCATGACCTCTTGTTTCAGTAACCCGGTGGACATCAGTCGTCAGGGGCTCGTTGGATCGTCTCCTCCTTCTGTGGAGGAGACGATCAGAGGAGACGGTCATCTGCCTCACATCTTCTTCAGAGCCATGAGAGGAGTCAGCACACTGGTCGACGCCTTCCTGGGTACGTTAACCTCTGACCACACCTGACCCCTGTTAGCGCCTCAGAAATATCTCTGTAAACCACCTGTGACAGTCCGGCTGCTTCATTCTGATGAGAGGAAAGAATTAAGAGAAAATATGACTTTCTTAACAAAAGAACGTGAAGTTGAAGAATCTCTTTACAAGAGTGTCCTGGTCAAGACACCGAGACGTTACAGACATAAAACACAAATCATAACAAATCCTGTTCACAGAGCAGCAACACATTAGACAAATCATCTTCTTCAAACCCTTCACTTTTAGAAAGACTTGAAGAGACCAGCTCCCCCAGAGCTGCAGGAGCTGCTTACCTGAGACATTTTGAAACACACTAAAAAAGCATTAAAGCCTTAAACACAGATGTGAGCAAGTTATGAACTTTATTTGCCCGTGACTTTTCCTGTGATTGATCAATAATCAGATAATGGGATGCTCATGTCTGAATATTAAACTAACTTTTGAGTGGTCGTTTTGAGATGTAACAGGTGACTCTGTTTCTACAGGTGACTCTGTTTCTGCAGGTGTAGCAGTGGTCAACAAAGAGCCAACAGAGCAACTCCTGTCACATACTGGTACACACACACAACACAGTGTGTATGTGATGTGTGTATACCAGTGTGCATGTGATGTGTTTATACCAGTGTGCATGTGATGTGTGTATACCAGTGTGCATGTGATGTGTGTATACCAGTGTGTGTGATGTGTGTATACCAGTGTGCATGTGATGTGTGTATACCAGTGTGTATGTGATGTGTGTATACCAGTGTGCATGTGATGTGTGTATACCAGTGTGCATGTGATGTGTGTATACCAGTGTGCATGTGATGTGTGTATACCAGTGTGTGTGATGTGTGTATACCAGTGTGCATGTGATGTGTGTATACCAGTGTGCGTGTGATGTGTAGTTATGGAATGTTTTACATCAATTTAAAGCTATTAAACAGTTTCATATGTTGTTAACGCTGGCCCTCATGTCGCTGTCAAAGGTTGCTGTAGTCTTGTTTTTTATTTTATTGTGTTGCAGAGCAGTTATTGTTGATGTCGCTGTTTTTCTCCAGGACTGACATCGAGGACCAATCTCAGAGACCGGCTGCCTTCAATCGGTAAACCAATTCAAGGTTAATGAAGGTGTTTAATCAAAACAGAGACGCTTTTGAGTACTCTGTCCACAGCATGCTAACAGGAGTCCAGTCTGATCTCTTTTTGACCACAAGGACAAAAATGTCTCCTCTGAAAAGTGTCAGATTTATTCCTTGAGTGGGTTAAAAAGTAGACCCTCAGTCTGACCTTCTAACAGTTGGTTTACCTTTCACTTCATCTCCTCTCAGGTGTTACTGTGACCAAGAGCCCATTCAGAGATCGCATCCCTAACTATGGTAAGCCCTGCCCACCTCCCTTCCTACATCTCTGATTGGATAAGTGGTTTTGATGTTCTCCCACAGGTCTCTCACGGCCTCGCTCTGGAAGTGCCCCGCCTACTCCAGTGAACATACTGAGCCTGCCGAGTGCCCCTCCCTCCACCAGCTCCCCCCCTCCACACATCAGACGACTGAAAGCTGGAAATGTTTCCAAGGCAACCAGCAAACCTCTTATGGTATGATGTATGATATCGAGTGTACCTGCCCAGGTGTTTGTATATTTACCTTCAAAGGTGAAATGTCTCTTAACCTACACAGGTATATCACTCTTTATCTGGCCCAGCAAGTGTTACTTTCATGTACATGTACAGTTCTCTGTACGTGTCATGCTCTTTACCTGCACAGGTACATTTGTCATTACCCTCTATGGGAGGTACCTGTACATGTATCTTTAACTTTAAAAAGGTAAATTTCTCTTTGCCTGTATAGGTAAATTAATCTTGACCTGTCCCAGTACACATCATGGTACTATTCAGGTGTTTTTTTTGTCTTGGTATGTTTCATGTGATGATTTATTCTTATTCTCTGTTCTCTCAGACTTCCTCCTCCCCCCACCCCTGGAAGACTTCCACCTGTCCCTCCCCCTACTGTCCCCCTCTTTACTCCTTCCCCCGCCCCTCCCCTTCCCCCCTCAGGTGTAACGTGGACTCCCTTCTTCACCTGTTCGGCCGCTGGCTGTTTGATGCTGCTTTGGTCGGCAGAGACCCAGGTCTGCCCTGTCAGTACTCGATACAATACAACAGAACTACAAACAGTACCACATGTAGAACTACAAACAGTATCACGCAGAACTACAAACAGTATCACGCAGAACTACAAACAGTACCACACACAGAACTACAAACAGTACCACACACAGAACTACAAACAGTACCACACACAGAACTACAAACAGTACCACACCCACAGAAGTACAAATAGAAATACAAATACAACTACAAACAGTACCAGACATAGAACTACAAACAGTACCACACACAGAACTACAAACAGTAACACACCCACAGAAGTACAAATAGAAATACAAATACAACTACAAACAGTACCACACACAGAACTACAAACAGAACTGCGTACAGTAATACTGATATTACAAAGTACAAACTACAACAATTAAGACATTCTGTACAGGTGGTTCAGTCTTCACACTGTATAATTATTTATCTTAACTCTCTTTGAATCTTCTCTAGCTGATCACTGTGATGTCACTGTGATGTCAGAGAGGTGGGCCGCTGGTCGAGCCGAGGCCTGCGGGACACTCTGCAGGATCTTCACCTCTAAGAAAACTGCAGAAGACATTCTGTCGGTCTACCTGTCCAGGTACTTTTCACTTTGCCTGTCAGTGTACAAGTCTCTTCTCTTCTCTGTCCAGGTAATCCAGATACCTGTGTGTCTACACTTCTCTCTACTTCACTAGATACCTGTCTATCGACCTGTCCAGGTAAACATTTCTTTACCTGTCCAGGTGAACATTTCTTTACCTGTCCAGGTACTTTTCACTTTGCCTGTCCATGTACAAGTCTCTTCACCTGTCCAGGTAACAATACAGGTACCTGTGTGTCTACACGTCTCTCTACTTCACCAGGTACCTGTCTATCTACCTGTCCAGGTAAACATTTCTTTACCTGTCCAGGTAAACATTTCTTTACCTGTCCAGGTAAACATTTCTTTACCTGTCCAGGTAAACATTTCTTTACCTGTCCAGGTAAACATTTCTTTACCTGTCCAGGTAAACATTTCTTTATCTTTCAAGGTGTTTGTCTGGCTAATATATCAAAGTAGATATCTCTCTACCTGTAAAACTCAGCTCTTTAGGTGTCCAGATCATGTCTGTCAGTATGTGTCTATGTACATGTATCTGTCCACCTGTCCAGGTACAGTCCTCTTGGTGTCTCCCAGCTGGTGGGCGGAGTTAGCTCACCTGAGGACAATCAGCTTCTTAGTTTGTCTGTTTGATTTGTCTTTAGATTAGTAAAAGTTTAATTCAGTCTTAAAGCGTGTGTTTTCTTGCTCCTCTGTTCCACCTTCAGGTTTTACCTGGTACTCCTGCAGGGTCTCCAGGTGTCAGAGGGGGCGTGTCCTCCCGTTCTTGCCTCCATCCTGCTAAATTCCACCTGTATGTTCTGCTGTGACCTGAGAGGAGTGAACCTGCTGCTGCCCTCCTTCATCTCAGCGCTGGAACATGTGCTGCTCGACAGGTAGAGAGGGGGGAGGGTGTCACATCTGAAGTCTTGAAAGAGTCAGGTGTGTTTATGACCTGTGGGTTACAGCCACCTGCAGGTACAGAAGGGTGTGACTACAGGTATTTGTCTCTCTCTCTGTCTGTGTCTCTTTACCAGAGAGCTGCTGAGGTTTAAGGGTTTCGTGAGTCCAATGGACTTGAGGCGAGCTTCAATCCTCACCCTGCTGTCCCTGCTGCCCCTCCCTCTGCAGTTTCCCTCTGTCCAATCAGAAGTGAGCGCCAACATCTAGCACCAACACACCTGTGCACACCTGACCTGGACTTAGGGATGGGCATCATTAAAATTGTGTTAATTTCAGATTCCAATTCATATCCTGCTCATCAGATCCCTTCTTTAGATTTCATAGTATTATAATAAAGGGGTTACATGTTTAGATAGTTCTTCTATTATCCTCCACACACACGCTGACGTTCAGCCGTGTGTTTGTGTGTTCAGGTGTTATTGGACGGGAGGCTCAGTGGTGACGATGTCCCAGCAGGTAGCTTCCTGTCTCTGAAGCCCCGCCTCATCAGTGTTCTGATGGGAGCTCTGCAGA